CTCGTCCCTGCCTCCCTAACCTGTTCTTCCTCCCACCTATCCCCTCCTCCCACCTCAAGCCGCACCTCCATCTCCTACTGACCAACCTCATCCCGCCCCCTTGACCTGTCCGTCCTCCCTGGACTGACCTATCCCCTTCCTAACTCCCTACCTACACTCACCTTTCCTGGCCCCATCCCCGCCTCTTCGACCTGTTTGTTTCCTCTCCACCTATCCTCTCCTCTATCCCTCTTCTATCCGCCTCCCACTCTCTCCCTATTTATTTCAAAACCCCCTTCCCCTCCCCCTTTTCTGATGAAGGGTCTAGGCCCGAAACGTCAGCCTCTCTGCTCCTATGATGCTGCTTGGCCTGCTGTGTTCATCCAGCCCTGCACCTTGTTGTCAGGGGTTGAAGCAGGTTGGGAGACTGGAGTTGGTGTGGGCTGTGACCAGCCTCTTGAAGCACTTCATGATTATTGAAGTTAGAGCCACTGGGCAGTAGTCATTAAGGCACGTTGCATGTGTTTTCTTAGGTACTGGGATGTTGGTTGTCTTCTTGAAGCTGGTGGGGACTTCAACTTGTAGGAGGGAGAGATTGAAGATGTTGGTGAATACCTCCACCAGCTGGTCTGCACAGGATCTGAGAACTCGGCCAGGGACTCCATCCAGGCCTGTCACTTGCCTTGGGTTGACTCCCAGAGAGACTGATCTGACGTCTGAAGCGGTGACAGAGGGAACCGGTGTGTCTCAGGCTGTCGGGGCAGGCATTGGGAAGCAGGTGGTATTCTGCTCAAACCGAGCATAGAAGGCATTGACCGTGTCAGGGAGGAATGTGTCATTGTCCGCTATCTTACACTGTTTCATTTTGTATCCCAGGAGAGGAAGTGCAACAAATGGTCACGAACCTAACTCCTGGATGGAGGCATTGTCCTATGCAGCAGGATTAAATAGACTGAGCCTATATTCTCAGGTTTAGAAAAGTGAAAAATGATCTTATTCACAATTACAAACTGGTTACAGGCATTGACAGGATAGATGCGTGAGAGATGTTTGCCCTAGCTGGGTCTGGTCCAGAACCACGGAATGCAGTCTTAGGATAAGGGGAAGACCATTTATGATTGAGATGAGGAGGAAATTCTTCATTTCGATGTTGGCGAAACTTGGAATTCTATGTCACAGTTGAATATGTTGAAGACTGAGGCTGATAGATTTCTCTGTTTTGAGACACCAAGGAGATAGTACAGGAAATGTGTTGGAGTATCAATCATGATCTCATTGAATGATGGAGTGGGCTCAAAGGGCTGAATAGTTACTCCTGTTCATTTTTTTAATGTTCTTATGAGAATGCTGCAGTGTCTGAGCAGTGCCTCCTTGCTGTTCAGCAATAAGTTAGAGATTGCAGCTACACTAGCGAGATCTTTCCTTTATATCATTGTTGTCTATAAATGATATAAAGCTGTTCCTCCTGAGTTAACAATCTCACTGGCACACCTAGCCCAGGATTTTGGGTTGCAATCTGAAGATCTGATTTGTTTCCTCTTTTGCTAATAAACCTCCTTTTTCACCAAAATCAACACTAGTTCCCTCAACAGATGGGGAGGCAATGGCCTAGTGGTATTATCACTGGACTGTTAATCTAGAGACCCAGATAATGTTCTGGGCACCCAGGTTCGAATCTCGCCACAGCAGATGATGGAATTTGAATTCAATAAAATATCTGGAATTAAGGATCTAATGATGACCGTGAATCCATTGTCGATTGTTGGAAAAACCCATCTGGTTCACTAATGTCCTTTAGGGAAGGAAGCTGCCATCCTTACCTGGTCTGGCCTACATGTGACTCCAGACCCACAGCAATGTGGTTGACTCTGAGCTGCCCTCTGGGCAGTTAGGGATGGGCATTAAATGCTGCCTCATCCCGTGAATGAATAAAGAAAAAAACATGACCAACTGTCAATGGATCGGACAGGGTACACCTTCACTACCAGCCTTCAAAACTATGCCGTGTTGTGCTGTTTTTATTAAGCTGTTGGAGAAGCTAATTTAAAGGTCTTTTCAATTCAAGCAGTTCTCTGATTTAACCTCAATGAATGCAGGCAATACACGACAGGACACAGTTTCATTCAGACATGATTGTTTGAGTTGGGAGCAAACGGGGACCTTTTATTAGTAAGAACCAGAAAATAGTTTCCAGGATTATGTTATTACTGTTTTGTGGAAGTTAAAACTTTTTCCTTCTAAAGTAACCTTTACTGGATGGAAGTGGCACTGGGTTTTTTTTTTCTATCTTTGATCTCTTGATATAATATTGCTCCCTTGTCTTTGTTTAGGTGTCTGTGCTAGAGACCTGGCGGAGAACACAACTCTTTTTCCATTACAGAGCAGCTGACGATGCTAAGCGTATACTAGATAAAATGAAAGCACTTGTCAGGTGAGTCTGAAATGTTGTTTAATTTATAATTCTAGGATGGGGCTGTTTCTTTCTATTGCCAGTTTCCCATAAGTGAAGTACAGGTAGAGGAGGTCTTTTGGTCCATGTATTAATCCAGCCAAAACATCCGAAACCTCCCCGTCATTCTGGCATCAACTGTTAAACAATTTCAGGATTTACACCCCTGCTACTCTAACATGAATCTATCCTGTGTATTGATTGGTTTGTGCAAAGAATTATTTCCTGAAAGGGGTGACACGAAAGGCATTGTATGCTCTTTTAGCTTTTCTCCTCATTTCACTATTTTTGTACCTAAGATGGCGCCTTGTGTGGCGACATTGCACACATTTCACAGTGCTGCTGTACTTTGTACTTGATTACACATGACAATAAACCTAATTCTAATGAGTCAGCAGTGTGGAGAAAAGATTGTAAGATATTGCGGGGAAGTTGGGAGTAAATAATTAATTTATCCAATGTGTAATTTAAACTAGATCTAATACAGCTTAAAAACTTAAACCTGAGTTAAAACAGATATATCAACTTTCATGAACTAAACCAATAAAACAAGATTGCATACATATGGCAGTGCAGATGCTATGCTACAGCTACAGCTTTGGGAGTTTGTGGAGGTCTGGGACAGCCACGTTTTCAAAGATATCTGCATCTGGAATTTCATTACAGTTGTTGAACTGGATTCCAAGGTGCAGCGATGACAGGCATCGGAGAAGGCAAGAACTCCCTGGTCACTTCGTCCAGTCATGATGAGTAGAGTGTCAATTAGTTCCATTGGCTAGACGGTTAGTTTGCGATGCAGAGTGATATCCACAGCATGAGTTCAGTTCCCATGCTGGCTGAGGTTACAATGAAGGGCCTGCCTTCTCAACCATGCACTTCAACTGAGGAGTGGTTAAACTCACTACCAATCATCTCTGTTTCATGAAACAGCAGCCATAGTCCTCTGGGACTAGTGAGTTTTCACTTTCATATACGGGGAAATTAGAAGTACATGTAACAAAAGAAATATGGTAATCATGGAGGAATTAAATCTAGACAAACCCAATTTGAAACAATAATGTGGAGGATGAGTTATTGGAATATATTAAAGGTACTTCTTTAGATTCAGTATGTTCAGCAATCAAATCAGGAACAAGATATTTTAGTTCTGAGGAAGGGTCACCGGACCCAAAACGTTAACTGTTTTCTCCTTCACAGATGCTGCCAGACCTGCTGAGCTTTTCCAGCAACTTTTTTTTGTTCCTGATTTACAGCATCCGCAGTTCTTTTGGTTTTTACAAGATATTATATATTTAGTATTCATAAGATCATCAGAAATAGAAGGTAGAGAGAGTTGTTGGGCCCTTGATTTTGCTTTGCCATTCAGTAATATCCTTGGCTAATTTGCTTGGGATCTTGTGTTCACTTGCTAGCCTTTCAACATATTCCTAGTTTTCCTTGTAGATCATTCTGCAATGAGCTAGGGTTAATTGATACAGTTAGTCCTCACTTAAAGTTATGGTTATGGTCTAGAAAAAATTGAATTTAAATAAATTGGAGATTCTCATAAGAATCATTATTAGTTTCCTTCAGAAATTTTTCACTCAATGTGTTTTCAAGTTGAAATCCTGTACTGTACAAGAGCAACACTCTCAGGTTCCAGCTGAAACAACTTGCTGAAACTAAATGCATTACTAAATATAAAAGAAACACCATAAAATCCATACAGTGTGCACACAGGCGATTCAGCCCATAAAGCCCACACCCACCCTCTGAAGAGCTTCCCACACAGACCCACCTCCCTACCCTGTCCTGGTAACCCTGCATTTTCCCTGGTCAATCCACGTAACCTGCACATCTTTGGACAGTGGGAGGAAACCGGAGCACGCGGAGGAAACAGGGAGGACGTGCAAACCACTCAGAGATAGTCGCCCCAAGGTGGAGTCGAACCTGACTCCCATAGAGTTATTTTGTAAAAAATTACACTCGCCATATGGTAAAATAAAAGCAAAATACGATGGATGCTGGGCATTTGAAATAAAAATAGGAAATGCTGCAGAAATTCAGCATTTTTTCTGGAAGCATCTGTGGAGAAAGAAACAGATTTAACATTTGAGTCCAGCATGAACTCTTGAAGACTTCTCCAGAGCATTCTGTATTTAGTTTGTTCACATTACAGTATTTTAATGTAGATTATGCTCCATCTAGTGGCAGAACTTAGTGCAGTCATGTATCAGCTGGAGTCCCAGGACCATTTGTACTGTCTAACTCCTGACACTGGACAGAGGCCAGGATGTCCCAGGCACGTTCATGAATGGTCAGAGCCTGCAGCTAGTAGAAAAGCCCTGAGGTCTGAGTTGACGTGAGACAGTGAGAGGGTGAGCCTGAGGTTAAGGACGGGAGCCAGTCCTGGAACCAAGGCTGAGAGCAACAAATGGCAGCATGTGGAGGAAAAGACCAGAGAGCAGAAGAGCTGTGAAAAGGCCATTTGAGTGCGCAGGCCACAAAATAGCAAGTCTGACAATGTCATTAAAGTGAAATTGGAAAAGTTAAACAGTTATATTGATGCTACTTGATTAAATTAGTCAACATTAAGCAGAGGCTAACTGTATTGCACAATCCAATCTATGTGTACTCTCCCCAGTGTGGAGATCACATTGTGAGCACAAATTGAATAGACAGGTTTGAAAGAAGTGCACATAAGTTGATGCTTCATCTGGATGGAGTTTTGGGGACCTTGGAGCTAAGAAGACAGATGTTACATCTGCTAACTGAGTGGGCCAGGGTATCACCGAGGGAATGGTCCCTTCAGACATGCTGAAAGGGGAGAGGAAGTGTGTTTGGTGCTGGCATCTTTGATCTGTCTTCATTCATACTTAGCTGAATCAGCACCATTCATGCTTGTCTTCATTCTATTCCTCTACCATCGTTCTGTCCGTCTAAGGTCCATCTAAATATTTTATCCTGCTCATTTATTAATTTCTAGGGTGTTTCTTTCAAATTTGATAGCCTCATTCTGTTTAGCATCATCAAATTTGACCAATTTGCATTTCCTTTTTTCCCCTTGCTTTGCAGCTCCACATGCTCCTTTTTGTGTCCTTAAGACTGGTATTATAGCTAGTCTTCATCCTGACCTAGTCTAGTATTTGTAGATGTTCATTTTAATGGCATGTTGGTGGTAGTCCAGTTGTCGAGAATCCCAGCTATTTGTAAAATTAAATCACTAACTTTGAGCAGCCATCAGTAAAATAACCATCAAACTACATTTTTTAAAAAATGCTCACTGGTTCACTAATGTTATTTGTAATTATTCTTAATCTACATGACCCCTAATACTCTCTGAATTAGACTGGTAAATCAGATGTGAAAATGCTTTCCAAAGGCAGCCTCTTAATCTCCACCCCAGGAGATTAGAAGTGAGTTACGTATTCAGCTCTGCCACTGTTGGAAACATCATGATATGAAACAAATAATAAATACAGGGATTATTCAATATACGATCTGATCTGGTGAGAAATCTATTCCCAAAATATGCCCAAAGGTAAGCATACAAAATACCTTGTGACTGAAGGAAAATCCCAACAAGACCTATATCAGTGTAGGAAATGACACTGAGGAATTTTATGATATTTGAATATTCTGTTTTTATGCAGAAGCCCAATCCCAGCAAATCCACAACTACAGAGGTCGGTTGCAGCCTGGGAATCATTCCTATTTACAATCAACCAACAAATCCATCAAAGCGAGGTAGGTTTGAGGTGGATTTGGTACGTTTACATCACATAGAATTCTACAGATTACTTTGTATGCTGTTTAATTAGTACAGAAAAAGAAACAATTCTCATGTCAGCGGACTTGATATTGTGCTTGTTTTCCTCAAAAGAGTTCAGTCCCAAATGATGCTCACATCGGATTTGCACTAAGACTTGACAAGTATTCTGGATGATGGTTGATTGTCTTTTACAGTCATGTTTTTCATGTTGACTTTTCATTAATACTTTGTGGAAAATAATTGAAAGGTTCTTAAGATTGAGCAATAACACAAAGTATTCAACTTTATAGACAGATCTTAATAACCAGCTGACTCGAGTAAAAAATGGAGCTCATCTAAGCAGCCTTCCACCAGTCTCCATACCAATCCTCCCAGCACTCCCAGGCTCTAGCGTAAGTATTTTTTGATGAAATCTTTCTTTTCGCAATAGTTTACACTTGTGAAACTATAAAGATGCATTCTGTTGAAGAATGTGCATCTTGTGTCATTTATATTACAGTTATTCAAATTAGGTAGAATTGAAGATCACTCACTCCATTCAAAATCATAAAATCTGAACAAAATGCTGTAACCATGTTTCAGAATTTATATGCAGGATGTGTGTATAAACTCACAAAACAAGTCACTACCTCTAACCTTTACACTTCTTTAAATTACTAATTGGGTCTTGGGCAAAAGATCTAGGAATTGAACTTAACTACCAGAAAAGGCTAATGTGCACATTGTCATTGACTAATGCTACTGTGACCCACAAAATACACAGGCAAATGAACAGCCTAAAGCACTGGACTGCAGTGGTTCAAGAAAGCAATGCATCACTGCCACCACCTCAAGGGTAATTAGGGATGGACAATGAATTCTGGCCAAGCCAGCAATTCCCACATCTGTGAATGAATAAAAATAAATTGTCCTGAAATGTGATGTCCTAACCTGTATGCAGTTAACCAGATCGTTCAGACTAAGGCTCTGTATAAGTGCTGCAACGTATTCTCCCCATTGTTTGTTAACCCATTCAGGTAAATTCCTATATTCCATTGGTATTTTTGATTTCTTTTGCATACCTATACACCAGCTTTTAATAATTTGTTGACTCAACTGACAAATTTCCATGCTTCTGTCCAGTTCCTATATTCGCCATTTAAAATGGTTATCTGTCTTTTTTTGCACTAAGGTAGACAACTTCGCATGAGGTCAACTCTATCTGACAAGGCTTTGAGCACTCAATTAATCCATTTGTCTCTTTGCTGTTTCCTGTTGCTCTTAATTTAGTGGGCTTTAGAATGTGCCAGCTAAAAGTAAATGTAAAAACAGCTTCAACAGGCCTTTGAATAAAATGTGAGGGTGAAGCCATAGGAATGTTTGCTTCTGTCCCTTCTCCGTCACATCCTACAGTCAGTGTGTGTGATGTGGGTCACTAGTCTGTTCATCTCTCCCTCACTCCATCCTTCCCTCTTCTCCCTTCATTCCCTCCACCCACCCTTCCCTTCTCTTCTCCCAGTCAGTGCTGGAAGACAAATGGATGTGATCAGGAATGTAGGATTGTGAAGCAAGTTGCAAAAGCAGGAATGGAATAAAGCTGTGGAAGGATTTGAAAAGCATGTCAGTGATTTTGAAATTAAGGCACTGGAGGATGGAGCAACAATAAGAATGAGCTGAAAAAGGGGTGGTGAAAGAGACAGGATGCTAGCTGCAGATTGCTGGATGAACTGAAATTCCTCACCTAGGGCAGTGGTCATGAAGCCTTAAACAAGAACCTTTGAAAACAATTCAGGTTGCCCTTTCGAAAGGATGTTGTTCAACTTGAGAGGATGCAGAAACGATTTACGAGGATGTTGCCGGGACTGGAGGGTTTGAGTTATAGGGAGAGTCTGAATAGGATGGAGCGTCTGAGGCTGAGGGGTGATCCTATAGAGGTTTATAAAAATGAGGGCATGGATAGGGTGAATAGCTGAGGTCTTTTTCCCAGGGTTGGGGAGTCCAAACCTACAGGGCATTGGTCTAAGCTGAGAGGGGAAAGATCTTAAAAGGACCTGAGGGTAACCTTTTCACTCAGAGCATGGTGTATCTATGGACCGAGCTGCCAGACGAAGTGGTGGAGGCTTGTACAATTACAACATTTAAAAGGCATCTGAGATAACAATGTGTAGAGCTGGATGAACAGAGCAGGCCAAGCAGCATCATAGGAGCAGGAAGGCTGACGTTTCGGGCCTAGACCCTTCATCAGAAAAAAAAGGCATCTGGTTGTTTATATGAATAGGAACGGTTTAGAGGGATATGGGCCAAATACTGGCAAATGGGGCTCAGTCAGAATGAAGTGTCTGATCAATACAAATAAGTTGGACTAAAGGATCTGATTCCATTTTCTATGACTCTGTAAATGAGAGGAGGATTGGATGTGAGTTTCAGTAGTAACGGGGCGTAGATGGACATCATTCCTATTTTGGGACTAGAAGTATCCTTAGGTAATGGGTCTAAAAATGATTTCATGCTTGTGTATAAAGTAACATTGTAACTGAATTCAGAACATAAAATATACAGAGAAAACATATATTCATCTTGTTCCCATTTAAAGATGTTTTTGTTTTAAATTTAGATGCTGCTGGAGAATGATGATCCTGCCATTATAGCATCATACTCTTCTGCAAGTAAGGAGTTGCAGATGCAAAACCAGATGGTATCTATTGCACAAGCCTCAGCTGCTGCAACACAGAAACCTCTGACGGCTCTAATGCAAGCAGCCCCAAGGACTGCTGAAGCGATGGCTAAAGTTCCATCTGTAACATCTGTGACATTCAGCCTACAAAGCCAATCTTCCTTGAACCAAATTCAACGTGAAAATTCTTTGACAAAGCCTCAGTCTGCCTGGTTATCAGTAAATAATAGATCAGGCACACCCACAATACCTGAAATTGTAACCTCTACTGATACTCTGCTTTCTACAAGTCAACCTGCAAATGCAACATCTCAGCAACCCAAGAACAGCTATGATAAAATCATCAACCGTCTTTTGACCATGTTTCCTCATTATTCAAGGTAAGTCTAAGGTCAATCAAATACGTTTACACGATCTTGAGTATTTCTTTCATTGAGTTGCTTTTGTTTAACCGTGGGTTCTCATCTTGTCTGCTACAATAATAATGTCAACAATGACTGTTTACAGCCAATCCTGAACCATATATACTCATTCTGCTTTATAGGGCCCATCTGACTGATTTCATTAAAGAAGTTCGTAGTGCAAATGGCGGTTCCCTTTCTGGATTAGTATACGATGAAATAATTAATCGAGTGGCAGATCTCATTTTGGATCATCAAGACAAAACAAAGGTGACAATCTGAAGCTTGACCTTGTGTAAAATGGTAAAAACTCAATACCTGGATGCTTGAGTTGTCCCTGTTTACTGTTTCACAGGCTGGAGGATTGGCCTAACTATTTGAAGGTTTACTCCTGTAGTATGAGAGAGAAGAATGTGGTGAAATGAAAGTTTAAATACCTCCATTGCCTGCTAGGTGCCGAATGTTTGTGTGGAGATTTAAATCAAAAAAACAAACTTGTTCACTTTGATCTACTTTCACTTTTGGGCGATGACCAAGACTGACAATGACCCCAATCTCCAAGCAAAATGTGCAGCTTTCTATCAGCCATAATCCAAGAGTCCTCATGTCACTGCTAAGAGCTGATTGTTCCACTTTGCTTCACTGATCTTCATCCACTTCAGCACTATAATACAACAGCTGCTGATTTACCAGCTCATTTTACAACCCCTCTGGGTACTATCTCCAGATAAAGCACATTTCAGAAAGGTCATAAGTCACACTACACCAGGTTATAGTCCACACCTTTATTTGAAATCACACGCTTTCAGAATGCTGCGCCTTCATCAGGTGAACTGAAGCACACAGGCGTGGAATTTATAGGCAGAGAGATCAAAAGATCGTACCAATGGCGTGAGTGGAGTGTTGACAGGGTTAATAACAAGTCTGTGCAGGTAATCAAAATTGTCACATGATGAGACTAAAGTGTCAACAGCTGAATAGCAAGTGAAGGGATGATCTATAATCTGATTAACTGAGGCAGAGAGATAATTGCAAAAAATTAAAAATAAAATGGTACTGGAGACAAACCAAATGACTGGAATAACATGCTAGGTATAAGAGTCACATGCAGAGGGTCTAACCAAAGTAACAAGTAGTCCAAAACTGTATAAACTAATTAAGACAGAGAGATCATAACAAGTTATCAAGGTGATGGTGTCAAAACAGGACAGTAAGGAAGATTTTACAAATGCGACCGATAGGGTACCCTTCGTCATCCAGTACTTCCCCGGAGTGGAGAAACTACACCATGTTCTTCACAGCCTTCAACATGTCATTGATGACAATGAACATCTCGCCAAGATCATCCCTACACCTCCACTTTTCGCCTTCAAACAACCAGCAAACCTTAAACAGACCATCATTCACAGCAAACTCCCCAGCCTTCAGGACAGCATCGACCACAACCTTGCCACGGCAACCTCTGCAAGACATGTCAGATCATCAACGTGGATCCTACCATCACACGTGGGAACACCACCCACCACGTACATGGCAGATACTCATGTGACTCAGCCAATATTGTCTACCCCATACACTGCAGGAAATGATGACCTGGGGCATGGTATATTGGCAAACCATGCGGATGCTACAACAACGGATGAATGGACACCGCGTAACAATTGCCAGACAGGAATGCTCCCTCCCAGTGGGGAACACTTCAGCAGACAAGGACATTTAGCTTCCGATCTTCAGGGCACCATCTTCCAAGGCGGCCTTCAAGATACACAACACAGAATCGCCAAGCAGAAACTGATAGCCAAGTTACGCACCCATGATGACAGCCTCAACTGTGATCTTGGATTCATGTCACACTACATGTAACCCCATCATACTGTTCTGTATCTGTAAAATCTTCCTTACTGTCCTGTTTTGACACCATCACTTGATAACTTGTTGCGATCTCTCTACCCTAATTAGTTTGCAGAGTTTTGGATTACTTGTTACTTTGGTTGGATCCTTGGCATGCAACTCTTATACCTATCATGTAATTCCAGCCATTTGGTTTGTCTTCAGCACCATTTTTTAAAAATTTTTTTTGTAATTTTCTCTACCTCAATTAATCAGATCATAGGTCATCCCTTCACTTACTATTCAGCTGTTGACATTTTACTCACTTTACTGACACTTCTGATTACCTGCAGAGACTTATTATTCAGCCTGTTGAAACTCCACTGTTTGTACGATCTTTTGATCTCTCTGCCTGTGTATTCCACGTCTGTGTGCTTCAGTTCACCTGATGAAGGGGCAGCGCTCAAAAAGTTTGTGATTTCAAATAAACTTGTTGGACTGTAACCTGGTGTTGTGTGACTTCTAACCTTGTCCACCCCAGTCCAACGCCAGCACCTCCACAATATTTTGGAAACTCATTCTTTGTCATAGGAGCATTTTGTATTCACTGAACGCTCCTTAAACTGCAGAGTTGAGCACCAAAGGCAGTACCTGCTCATGTTCCAACAATGCTCACCAGCTGACATGTCACTTTCAGTTGAACTAGGTCTTGTTCCCAACAGTTTCCAGTGATGCTATCCATGAATTAAAATAGCCCCTTCGATGGCTAAAGTTTGTTAGCTTGCAGTGAGAGGGAGAGGCTTAGAAAAGGAACTTTTGAGATTAGGATCTAAGCAGCTAAAGATAAATATTATCAAACACAAATAGAAGTTATTAGGCTTAATAATGCTATTATTTGCAAGTAGCAGTTAGTTAAAAATTGTAATCAAAATGCATGTATGATGATAAATTCAAAATTAAGTGATATTTGTTGCCAGGATTCATTTTATTATTTTCACTGAAGAAGTTTCATGGTGCACATGTTTCTTTCTCCCTATCTTGCACATTATAGGTCCAGTTTGTGCCTTCCACCCTTCAACAGCCAGCAAGCCTTGTTCACCAAAGGCCATCCTCTGACCTTGGTACTTCACACAGAGTACCTACAGCATCACGTGAGAGCTTAAGACCATCGACTCTTTCAGCTGCTAGAAGTGCCCGTTCACAGCCTTGGAAACCTGTCAAAGCTCAGACTGCCTCACAGTGGCACGTAAGCAATCCTCCAGTAAGTGATAGTGAAGTATAACTTTCATTACCTTACAATAAAAAGATAAGGATAAGAAAAGACCTGAAACTGTCCATCTTGACTTGAAAATATATCGCCTTTCTTTCACTGTCACTAGGTCAGAATCCTGGAACTCCCTCCCTCCGGGCATTGTGGTTGTATCTGCAACACATGGATTGCAGTGGTTCAAGAATGCAGCTCAGTGTCACCTTCTTAAGGGCAATATACGCAGGCCTAGCCAGTAACAGCCACATCCCACAAGTGAATAAGTAAAACTTGAGTGTACAGGGCTGAATTTCAAAACATGAAGTATAATGAACTCTGAGGAGGATAGAGATGGAATGAATGAGCGAGTGGCAAATGCAATTTAACGCAATTGGCAAGTTAAACATTTTGGAAGAAGAAATGAGAGTCAGTACAAACTAAGTACATTTATAAAGGGGGTACAGGAAAAGAATGTGTTCTAGGGAATATGGGCTTAAATAGTTGAAGGTGGCAGGGCAGGTTGAGAAAGCTCTCAATGAAGTAGGCAGAATTTTAAAATTTTATAAAGAGAGACGGAAAATCATGGAAGTACTCAGTAGGATCTGCTGGGGAGAGAAACAATTAACATTTCAGGTTATTCACCTTTAATTATTTCAAATTAAATTTCATCAACCTGAAACTCTGTTTCTCAGTTTGTAGATGCTGTCAGATCTGCTGAGCATTTCCAGAGTTTTCTGTTTTTATTTCAGATTTCCAGCATCCACAGTATTTTTATAAATAGAAGCTTTGAATTCAATAGCAAGAAAGTTGATGAATCTTTATAAAGCACTGATTTGGGAACATCTTGAGTATTGTTTTTAATCCTGTGCCCCATGCTTCAGGAACGATGTGAAGGCTTTAAAGAGGGTACATGAGGATTTACTAGAATCATTGCATTGATGAGTGTGATATAAACTGGAGAAGTTGGGACTGTTAACCTTTAGAGTGGGGAGGATTTGAGAGAGTAAAAAAATCATGAAAGAACGATAGAGAGGATAGAGAAGAATTATTTCCATCAGTGGACAGGTCATGAACCAGAGGACACTGAATTACGGTGAATGGCAACCCAACCTAACAGCGGGCTTGATGGACTGAAGGCCATTTTCTGTGCTGTAGCCTCTATGACGTGAGGATGATAATTTTTATGCAGTAAGTGGTTATGATCTCCTGTGAGTGTAGTGGAAACAGATCACTTTATGGATTTCAAAAGGCAATTCGACAATTATTTGAAAAGAAAAGAATTAAGGCCGAGGGGAGTATGTGGAGGAATAGCACAAGTTCAGCTCCTCTTGCAGAGCCTACAGATACTCAGCAAGCTAAACAGCTACCTCTTGTGCAGTAACCCACTCTTCCTCCTCGGTCCTTCCTTTGATTATTTCTTAATCCTTGATTCAGTAAGGTCCCAGATATCCAGTCACTTCCACTGTTACCAGTTCACACTTCCAAGGTTTATAATGAAAAAAACACCCTTAAACTAAAGGATTCAGGTACAAGTTTAACAGGGATGCCTGAGATGCCACTTTCCAGTAAATTCTGCACCGGTTAAAAATTAAACTCCAGCTGACTGTCTGCACACACAACTTTGCCAAGGTCAGGTCTCCCCACTTGCCCTTCTAGCATGATTAATCCTTGGGGAAAGAAGGTCAGTAGAGAGACCTATAATAGAGCTAAGTTCATTAGATGGAGCACAGTGAGCAAGACGGTTTTTAATAGTTGTAAACCTTTTCCTTATTTTTCCTGACAGACATTTGATGATGAGCCATGTATTATTTGTCATGAAGATTTAACACCAGACACTATGTGTGTGCTTCAGTGCAAACATCAGTTTCATCAAACGGTAAGCAGAGCTGTCAATTCATCTCATTCTTCATCATTCATCGATGTTAATGAACGGCCTGCTTGGGTGGAAGGATGGGTAGAAGGAAGAATGGTCACTGAGCCAAATCGTTTCTGCACACAGTGATACCAGGGACAAAAAGCTATTCCTGATCCATTAAAAATTAAATTGAATTTTCATGTTCATCAGCAAGAGAGGACAGCTGAAATTTGCAATGAATTTTAAAATAAAAGCCTGAATTTGTCTTTTATCAAGGAAGCACATTTGAGATCAGCGTTGAGATACAGGGAATAATAGCCAATTTCTGCAGAGCAAGGCCCCCACAATCAGCAAAGAAGCAAAAGACCAGATATTTCGTTATGTACAAGAGGATTTAAAGTATTGCAACAACCACACATTTTTGCATAATTCTCCCCTTGTCAGTATTGTGTGATATTCATAAGAATTTTATTGGACTTTTAGATAAGCACGTGAATATGCAAGGAATGAAAGGATATGGACCAAGGGTAGGCAGAAGGGATTAGTTTAATTTGGTGTCATGTCTGGCACAACATCTTGGGCTGAAGGGCTGTTCATATGCTGTACTGTTCTATGTAACTGTTACGTTATAATTTTACTATTCATTGAAGGTAAAATGATGATTCAGATAGCTGTATTGAACATAGAACAGTACAGTACAGCACAGTACAGGCCCTTCGGCTCACGATGTTGTGCCGACCTATTATCCTACTAAGATCAATCTACCCTACATTTTACTAGCCTCCATGTACCTATCCAAGAGTTGCTTAAAAGTCTCTAATTGCTGAAAAAAATGCACATTTTGTCGAAGCTTTTTGTCTTGCACTCAAAGCTTCAACAAAATGTCTTTTATTTTCAGTGATACTCAAGTTCTGTACTACCAGATGACTGTTCAGCTAGTTCTGGAAAATGCAGGTGGATTGGATTGGAAAAAGGGTAATTGCTGCAATTCCTGCAGGTTTAAAGTGTAGTAAAGTTGAAACTGCATTAAGCCTATTTCTTTGACCAAGCTTTTGACTATCTGCTTATGTGGCTCAGCAGCAGACCTTGCTATAATGTTTCTATGAAGCACCTTGGGCTGTTTATCGTGTTAAAGATGCAGTATAATTTCAAGCTATTGCTCTAGTGTGAAATCAGTAGAACAATGAATGTGGTGTTCTGTAAAACTGTTTTTGTGATTTGTTCTCCCACAGTGCATCAAGAAATGGCTAAGAGAGAACAGCACTTGTCCAACATGTCGAGTTCATGCTCTCCTGCCTGAAGATTTTCCTGAACTGTCTGGAATGATAAAAAATACACAAACCTATCCTTTTTAAGAATATAATCTAAGAGGGGATTGACATATAGTTGTCAGTTATTTTGATCATTATTTTCTGCAGCTTTTTTTTTCCATGAAGCTGTTTGCAATTTTAGGATAGCATGAAAAAGAATGGGAAGAACGCGCAGGGTGCAGGGACATTTGAAGAAGGAGCATGGACATGGTTGACAACATCCTACTGTGGAGAGATTCAAGCCTTTTAACTTCATTAAAATGATGTTCGGGTTCAATAAACAAGGCGTCTTTCAAAATTTGTCAATAGCAGAATCATTTATTGAGAACTCTGATGTTGCTTGATGGATGTCAGTGTGATACCATACGAACGCTATGTAGTGATCTAGAAGGGGAACAACCTAGTTCAGTTTTTCTCTCTCGATCCAATACCAGCCATCTTTGCACTTCATTTCTAAAGCAATGCTCTGTTACAAATATAAGGAACAACAAGCTTGCAATTTTAATCTTTATACAATATAATCCCTTTTAAGTATATTTTTAAATTCATGGAAAACTAGCTGAATATTCTAAATAAATCATAATTTGAGGCCTTCTGTACCATCATGTGCCATATTGATTTCTTCTTGCTGTCAGCAACAAGTGACTTTTTTTTTCATATTACCACTCCATGTTAAAGACATTATGTAGGGTACACACTTATTACAGAAGCCATCATTCTGGGGAATGTTAAGAATAAAAATGTTTTCCAACTCCATAGGCCGGAATCAATTGGACAATCTTCGTTCTGTAGTAATCATAGTTTGTGGCCACAGAAGCATAGTATTTCCAGCATTTTCTGTTTTATTTTGCTTTGGGGTGGGTTCAGTATTCAGATTTGTGTCGATCTCACCTAAAATCTCCTCACTATTTTGAAGATGTAGTGGAGTAGTGGAATAGGCTATTTAATTAAAAATAAGAACAAAGTGCTGGAAATACTCAGCAGGTCTGGTAGCATCTGTGAAGAGTGAAGGGGTCAACTGTTCATCTCAATAACATTGCTAACTACTACCCGTTCTGACAGAATGTGACAGGTTAATAATTTTAATGTTAATTTGTGTAAGAAAGATGAGAGTGGATGGAGTGGGTCTATGGAAGAAAATGTTGCCCATACCATGTTTCCACCCTATAATGTTGTATTGACCTTATTAACTAAGTTTTAAGAGGTGATGGTGTATTAAAAATTATATGTAAAACTAATGGTCTTGTTGCTTCAGTGCATTAAAAGAGACAATGAACCATTACGAAATGTGCCCTTTGCATTTGTTATTACAGTCTTATGTTAACCCATCCCTTGTACTAAATAAAAACCAAAAGAACTGTGGATGCTGTAAATCAGAGTCAAAAATAGAAATTGCTGGAAAAGCTCAGCAGGTCTGGCAACATCTGTGAACAGAGTTAATGTTTTGGGTTGAGTGACCCTTCCTCATAAATGATGGTAGCTAGAGAGAGATGAGCAGTTGGACAGACAAAGGACTGGGTAACGATCTGGCTAGGAAGGTGAATAGCTATTAATGGGGACTGTTAGTAATTAACAATGGGTTGTGTGTAACAGCAGACTGTGATAACAAGGCCTGGTGTGTGGGGAAACGAAAGCAGAAGTTAGTGGAAAAGCTCAGCAGGTCTGGCAGCATCTCTGAAGAAAAAATCAGAGTTAACGTTTCAGGTCCAGTGACCCTTCCTCAGAATGAGGAAGTATTATTTAGTATTTATTATTTATTTAGTATTTAACTCACTGGTATGTGGGGGTTGGGCTAAGGACATCGGAGAGCTCAAGACCTAAAGTTATTGAACGTGATGTTGAGACCAGAAAGCTGCTGGGTCCCCAACCGGAAAATGAGGTGTTGTTCTTCCAGCTTGCACTGAGCTTCACTGGAGCACTGTAGCAAACCTGAGGCAGAGATGTTGACCAGTGGACAGGGTGGTGTGTTTAAGTGGCAGGCAACTGGAAGCCCAGGGTCTTTTTTGCAAACAGAACACAACTGTTCTGCAAAGCAGTCACCCAGTCTAAGCTTTGTTTCCCCAGTGTAGAGGAGACCACATTGTGAGCAGTGAATGCAATAGACTAGATTGAGAAGTGCAGGTGAAGCACTGCTGGAAGGTATGTTTGGGCCCTTGGATACTGAGGAGGGAAGAAGTAAATGGGCAGGTGTTACACCTTCTGCAGTTGGAGGGGAAGGTGCTGTGGGGGGGATGTTGGGCGTGAAGGAAGAGTGGACCATGGTGTCCTGGAGAGAACGATCCCTGCTGAAGGCGGACACGGGAGGGGAGGGGAGGGGAAGGGAATATGTGTCTGGTGGTGGCATCTCACTGGAGGTGGCAGAAGTGGTGGCTAATGATCCTCTGGATGTGAATGCTGGTGGGATGGTAGGTGAGGATGAGGGGAACCCTATCACTGTTGTAGGAAGGAAGAAAGATACAGGTACTGTTCTGGGGACCTGGATCTAAATCCCACCATGACAGATGATGGAAATTTGAATTCAGTTTGAAAACAACTTTGACCCTGAAAATGTTATCAATTGTCCAGAAAAACCCATCTGGTCTCCAATGTCTTTTCAGAGAAGGTAACTGCTGTCCTTACCTCATCTGGTGTGCACGTGACTGGCTCTAAATTGCCCTCAAGGTATTTAGGGATAGACAATAAATACTAGCCTGGCCAGTGACACCCACATCCTATGATTGAATTTTTGAAAAAAGGATTCATATTGAAACAGTGTTAGGCCATAATTGCTGTAGTAGATTATGGAATGGAATCTAATATTAGGCAAGACCTTTACACATTTATATTTCAAAACATTCTGTGTGCAAACCTATAACTTCTAAGTGAGGGAAACTGGGCAAGGGAATTGCATTTCCTTAAGCAATCAATTCAAAGAACAGCAATGGCAATAGTGATGGTCTCTGTTTTAACTATAACTACGCAATGATTCTAGGAACATTTTTAAATTGCATATTTATCTTTACAGTGTAGTAGACCCCTCTTCCCCTTCTTAAATTTTATTCTTCTGTTTTGGCTTCGTCCAAATGTTGAACATCACCTTTTGTTATTTTTTCCTTGGGGTTAGTAGGTAAATGATTCCTCTTTCACTTGGGAAAGCCTTGTAAAGACATCACTTGTTCCAAGGGCAGGTGAGCTGAGATAGAGGTGAAGTCAGGGTGATAGTGCAGAGGTGGAAATAATTTGATCTTAGTGCTAATAAAAGATTCGAAACTCAACTCAGGATCAAATTTAATGTCACGATTGTAAACAGTGGCTTTACCTCAGTCTGCCACCATGGGAAGGGATGGAGTTGTCAAAGGGCACCATGTAAATGAGGAAGAGGAGAGATCAAGGGAAGAACTGTCAATGTAAATTAAAATTGAAATTTAGGAGTAGCAGATGGAGTTTAATTTGGTAAGGCAACCCAAGGCAGGACTTGTACAGTTAATGGTAGGGCCCTGGGTGTGTTGCCAAACAAAGGGACATAAGCATGCAGGTATGTAGTTCCTTGAAAGTGGAGTCACAGGTAGACAGGGTGAAGGCGGCAGCATTTGGTATGCTTGCCTTCATTGATCAGTGGATTGGGTATAGGGGTTGGGATGTCATGTTGCAGCTATACAGCATATTGATGAGACAATAAGGTGCAGAGCTGGATGAACACAGCAGGCCAAGCAGCATCCTACTATCTCTGATTCAGCATATTGATGTGGCTGCTTTTGAAATGTTGCATTCAATTCTGGTCTCACTGCTATAGGAAAGATGATGTTAAACTTGAAAGGGTTCATAAAAGATTTACAAGGATGTTGCCAGGACTGGAGGGTTTGAGTTATAGGGAGAGGCTGAATAGACTGGGGCTTTTTTTCCCTGGAGCATCAGAGGCTGAGGGGTGACATTATAGAGATTTATAAAATCATGAGGGGCATGGATAAGGTGAATAGCCAAGGTCTTCCCAGGGTGAGGGGAGTCCAAAACTAGAGGGCATAGATTTATGGTGAGAGGGGAAGGATTTAAAAGGGATCTGGGAGGCAATCTTTTCACAGATAGCGGGGTGTGTATTGGGAAGAGGTGCCAGAGTAGGTGATGGAGATGGTACAGTTACAACATTTAAAAGGCATCTGGATGAGTACATGAATAGGTAGGGCTTAGAGGAATAATGGCCAAATGCTGGCAAATGGAACTAAATTAATTTAGGATATCTGCTGGTGCAGACAAGTTGGTCCAAAGTGTCTGTTTCCATGCTGTATGACTCCATAACAAAATTAACAGCATAGACACCTATAACAGGACTGTAAATTAGTGAATGAATTCATTGTATACTGATTTATCAAAGAAATATAAAGGAAGATTAGTACGAAAAGGACTTGAACAAAATTACGTTCTTAATCTCCCACCTAAATGAAAGAGTCCACATTCATAATAGTTAATTTTCAGGGCCTGGGAATCATAAATTTATAAACTTGAAATGATGGGTGGATTTAGTTCAGATTGACCATGTTGCTTGCCTCTTGGAGCACAAGGTGCCACTTCCACAGAGCACGGCAAATTAGCACACTTCCAATGTCAGCTTCTGAATTTGAGAGGCATACACTGTCTCACCTGTCTGCTATGCCATTTCATTTTGACAGCAACAGTTAAGCTATTAAATCAGGAATAAAACAAAGTGCTAGAAATTCTCCATGAGATCTGGCAGCATCTGTGAAGAGTAAAATAGAGTTAATATACAAATTGAAGAACCATCATATTCAAATTCAAACATTAGCTCTGTTTTTCTCTCTCTAGGAGGGAAAGAACCCTCCATAGCCCCAGCCTATTCAGCCTCTCCCAAGAGCTCAAACCCTTCAACCCTAGCAACATCCTTGTAAATCTTTTCTGAACCCTTTCAAGTTTAACAACATCCTTCCCGTAGCAGAGGGACCGGAATTACACACAGTATTTCAAAAGTGGCCTAACCACTGTCCTGTACGGCTACAACATGACCTCCCAACTCCAAATTCAAAGCACTGACCTTCTCTATGTTATTTTTTTTTCTTTCAAAAGGAAGTGGGCATCAGTGGCAAGCCAGAAATTCTTTACCATCCCTGGGGTTCTTACAGTTTCAAGGTCACCATTACAGAAGCTAATGTTCAATTCCAGAGTTTTTTTTTGTAAAACTGAACTTAAATCCCACCAGCTACTCAAACCCATACCACCAGATTATTAGTCCAGTCCTCTGGATTACTAGTTCAGGCAGCATTACAAGCACATAAGAGCACAGAAAATAGGAGGAGGAGGAGGAGTAGGAGCAGGAGTAGGCCAATTAGCCCATCATGCCTGTTCCACCATTCAACATGGTTATGGCATCATCCAAATCAGTATGCTGTTCCCCACTTTCTCCCCCAGCTCTTTGATCCCTTTAGCCCCAATAAATATATGTAAGCCCTTCTGGAAAACAGCCAATATTTTGGCCTCAATCACTTTCTGTGACAGAGAATTCCACAGGGTCTCCACTCTGCAGGTGAAGATATTTCTCCTCATCTCAGCCCTAAACAGCCTATCCCATATCCTCAAACTGTGACCCAACGGTTCTGAACTCAACAGTCATTGGGAACCTCCTTCCTGAATTTACCCTCTCTAGTCCTGTTAGATTATTGTCGGTTTCTACCATCTTACTTTTGCACTGTAGAACCATTCCCCAAAATCTGGACTAGAACAACTGTCTGATACGTCAATTTGTAATTGAGCCTTTTCTAAATCTGTATTTTTTGGGTAAATCTTAGCAAAGCAAAGAACAGACAATATTGTTTCACCAAAACAGAGAGTTTCCACCTGCCAATGGGCTATTTGCATACAACCTCCACTCAAACCTGGATAAACTCTCAAAAACATTCCCAAGACCTGTTTAGTAAGTCGGAAAGGGAGTGAGTTGGGCATAATTCTTCCAGTTGTCTTCAGCAGTGGTGCATTTCACACTCACCATTTTAAATTGACAACATGAATCTAATGAAGCTATTTAGTCATTAGAAGTGATTATAATAGCAGTTCTCAAAGTGTCATGCAAAACACTAATTGCGGCTGAACTGCAAAACAGGTCAGAACTGTCAATCAAACCTCCTGCACCTATGACATTACATTACTACATACAGCGCTGTGTGTGGGAAATCTAAAACAAGCAACAATAAATGTTCTAAGCAAAATTTGATAGTGTCAGCAACTGTAAAATTAAATATTCAACATTGATGGAACTGAAAACAAAGAGGAAAAACTGATAATGTGGCATCTGACATG